TATATATATATATATATATATATTGTGGTCGAAATGCCCTAGCCACCAAAGTGGGATATAGGGACCATGGCCCTATAATTCTAACCCTGAGTAGTGGAACTTCAGCTATCTGGTTGGGGCCTGGCCACTAGTGATCACAGATCATGTAAAATTCCACCCACAATACATGAATTAATGTTCTGAGTGAAGAGCATGCCTGTTCTGGATGTAGTGTGGTTCACCCATTAGGTTGCTAAGCTTCTGTTGGCACACCCATGATCTATGCAGATGCATTTTGTATGGATAATGCCCTCACTAGCTCCTCCACCTTATCAATATGGAATATTAGCTGTAGTGTTTGTGGAAGTATGTTTTGGAAATTAACATTTTCTTAAATTTAAAATGTATTTTCCAATAATGCTTACCTTCTCTCATACTATCCCACCCTTCCTCCCCACTAAGAGAAGCGGTGTTAGAAACTGCAGATTGGGTCAGTCTTGAAAAAAGTGATAATATTATCTGAATGAGGTGCATATATATACAGTATCGGGATAGAAGGCACAATGATGTAGGTTGATTGTGTCACGAGACAGATATTGCCAAAAGCAATTAAGTGAGGAATAAAAAACTGGAGCAAGCGAGAAAAAAATCAGACCAATGCTTAGATGGGCAAAGGAAGAAACCCTGGCAGTTGAGTAATAGCTGTAGTGTGAGAGGAGGTAAGTATTATTGGAAATACATTTTCGATTTAAGAAAATGTTAACTCTTACATTTTTGAACCGTGTTCTATAACAAATAATTACTCCCTGCTTGTTTTTTACACTAGATTGTATAACATAATTATTTAAAACTTACCCTATCTTCTTTACTCCAGGTGGCAGAACAAACAATTATTTCATATTTTCTTAGCTGACCTTGTTTATACTTCATAGTACCATATAGAATTGTTTGTTTATTTTTTTTTTATCTTCTTTACACCAAGTTTTAAAACAATAATTGTTTCCTATTTATCTTACCTTCTTTACAACAGGATTATTTAACAGAATTGTTTACTATTGCTTAACTCACCTGGTGTACAACACTGATTATGTTCCTTGATTTTTTTCTTTAGATAGTAAAACACTTTTTAAAATAATTACAAGTACCTTATTTTTCTCCCACTAATTGTTAAAACAAATAATTCCCTTACCTTGTTTATTCCAGGTGGTGCAACACAAAATTGTCTCTCAAGATGAGATGAAGAGGAGGCTGAAGGTTTTGCTTAATCAGCAATCTAGTCTACATGAAATGTATGTACAGATACTTACTATAGCACAATATTTAATTCATTTTGTGCTGTGTTTTTTAGGTGTTTGATAGTCTTAGTTTAAGTAAAGTAGAACATTTTTAGGCTTCTTTTACCTATAAGGCAGAAAAATGACACTATAAATGTTATATGATTTTTGTGTAATTACTTTATAATATTTGGAGTAAGTATTATGCCCTATGTATCTGTTTTTAGTGAGATTTTTTAATAAAACTTTCATAAATTAAAAAAAAAACTGTAAAAACTCAAAACGACATATTACAACAATAATGCAACTTGAATAGTTTAGTACAAAACTTAAAATTTTCTCATGTTATATTAGATACAAAATTAATGCTGGTTTGCTGGTTGGAGACCAGTAAATAAGGTGACAAGCTACCAGTTAGCTTTGAGGTAGAGATCCAGTGGACCACTTTTATTTTGTAAACAAAATCTGCCTACTCTAATCCAAATCTTGTGTTTCTTCACCCATTTGTTAACTGTAGATGCATGTTTCCATAAGCCTTACTTAACTACGTCTCTCCCATTAAAATTGCCAGTGCAATACAGTTTTTCATGATAGAAACTGAAAGCAAGAAATAATTGTTAACCACTATTAAACTGATATTTGTAACAAGATTGCTGCTAGCTAATGTGCCTTCTCCAGTTCAAACATTTCTGTACGTATTTTACAGAGGAACTCAAATTACCGATACTGACAAGCTAGATTATAAAATATGAACCTCCTATCTTTTCTATTTGCTGAGATATCGCTCATGTATTGAATCAAACAGTGTCCCTGCTCACTTTTTTCCATTTTTGGAAACAGTCCCTTATTTTGTTTCATATCCTTCATGTGTGAAATTTCTTAAGCAAGCTATGACAACCAGCAACCAAGTACAAAGGTCATAACTAGAAGTGATAACTTTTGGTTTACTTCTTTATTTACTGTCTTATGTTTTAAGAAAAATAAGTTTAAGAACTTGTTTGTAAATATTAATAATCTATATACATATAAAATGTATAATAATTTAAATGTGACTATTTTACAAAATACTAGTCCACTAAAACACAACCAAGACAGGTCACTTTGTAAAGACTAAAGGTCAGTTTTATATTATTGAATATGGTAACTTGAGTGCATGTGCACCACGTCATTGTAACTTGTATATTGTTAGCCAAGCACAGCTGAAAGGTCAGTATAGTAAAAATAATAAATATACATAAATGTATAATGTTGTGAGATTTGAGCTATTTAGTCTAAACATTTATATTTTTGTGTTATAATTTGTAGTCATTCTAGAACTAAAAAGGCATAATTTATATTTATTTCCTAATTTTTATGGTGGTACAAGATCAGTCAAATTGATTGAACCCGTACAGAGATTTGTTAGTCAAAATAACAGATAAAATATAAAGTTTTTTCTTAAGAAATGTTTGAGAACTATCTGGACATTTTAATGATTTTGCATGTGAAATATGAAAATTTTCTGATGCATTAAAGTATTTTTAATCTTAAAATGAAAATTACTTTCCATTTTGGATAGGCAACATGAGAAAAGAAAAAGGGCATGAGAAAAACAAACCTTAAGACTTAAAAAAGTTATATTTTGTGTACGAAAGCATTGTAATTTTGTGAACATATGCTTACTAATTTAAAAGTTATATCATGAAAACTATAACAAGCACAAAATGATTATGAGGTTGGTCCCAGGGGCCAAGCCCATACTGAAAGAGTTAAAGTAGGCTCAGTTAGACTGATGAAAAATTAATTAAGAAGATCGCTTAGATACTATAACACTCGTGTACCACATTAAAATTATTTAATTTTCTGATTTGATGTTTGACATAAGAAAGCAGGGGCATATTGACCTGTGCAGTTAGTGGAATTTGCTAATTAATCAATTACATTGAATTAACTCATTATCCTCACGAGAGATTAATCTTCCATTTTCAGATTGTTTTGGTTTTTTAAAGACATTTTCAAATTACTATTCGTTTAATATGGTAGACATCTTTAAGTACTTAATCATTAAGATAAATCATAATGGCAATATTATGATTACTATGATAGTTGGAATTATGTAAAACTAATAATGAAGTACCTTAATTTTAATTAGTTGATAATTTTTGTGAGTCATAACACTAATTGTTTAAACTGAACAAACTTTAATTAATCATAATGGCAATTACCAAAAACAGTTATAATCAGAAATGTCAGTTTTGATTAGTTGATTATTTTCATTACATGAACTGATGTAATCGTAATTTTTGATTAACCAATTATTTTATGTATAATTATCACTGTAATTCAGTTAATTTCTTAGTTGTAGGAGGATATACTCTGAAAATTATCAAATGTATTGGAATGGATTCATGCACACAAACATGATAACTGAGACTACATATATTTGTAATGATTACTAAAAAATTGAAGATTTCATCCATAACATTATGTAATGCAACCTGTAGTCCAACATGAAATTTAAAATAAAAATCAACATACAGCAATTTTACATATACTAATACTACAAATATTGTAGTAATACAATACTAAAATATTGGGCTGTGAGTGGTTTGTCAGTGGTTCTTTAGTAAAAAACAAATAATTCTTTGTTGTAACATTAAATACATAAGCATTGATTTTAAAACTAATTATCCCAACTGGCTGTTAATGATAATCCAAAATAATTCATAGTGCCTTGCACTATCCAGATATGTAATTACTGTTAATAAAACTTTTCCTTCCTTCCTGAACTTTCTTATCAAGACAGTTGTCTCAAAGATGTACAACTTTATTAATTTCCTTAACCCTTTCACTGTGGCTGGGATGTATATTTCCTAGTGCTCCCACCCCCCTCACACTGTGACTGGGACAAATGTTTCCTATCGTCATTCAAAATTGGTGGGCATGACATATGGGAGTAAAATGAATTGGAATATTTTATTGGCATCCCACCTAATGTTGATATATGTTTTCCCTCTTAGACATTTGGTAACCAACAAGATGCCTAAGCAGAATGTACAATAACTGCGTGCCAACCATGCCCGCGTTGCTAGAGCGGCAAGTAGTAACCCTAATTACTATGTAAATATGCTTGATGCGCTTGACTCGGATAGCTTAGAAGATAGTGAAAGTGGGTCAAATGGTGTTCAAATGTGTGATGATGAAGAGGCAATGAGGCAAGAGAGCTCTCCATCTAGTGATGATAATCAAGATGATGAATCTGGACCCAGCAGAGGAAGGTGTAAACAGTGGGAAACATTTGTCCCATCCACAGTATGAGTGTGTGGGAGTACTGGGAAATATACGTCCCAGCTACAGTGAATGGGTTAACATACCATTATCTTCTTTTGCTTTTTAATGAAAAGCTGTTTATTTTCTAAAGTTTGTATTCATATTTAGATATATTTGAGAAATCGATACTTGAAACTTGCGTGTAACATTGTCTCATAAATTTTGATTCATAGAATGATTAATTCTTAAAAAGTAAGAGTCAGACCATTATTAGTATATTCTGAACTGTAGAGCTTGGGAAGTTCTCATTTTACCTTTGCTCAGAAACATAAAATAAACATTCTGCTGAGATTAAAACTTTGTTCAGATCTTAAGAAAGATTAATATATATGTAATAAATTTTAAGTTGTATGTGGTATATGTTTATCGAGTGTTTTTGATGTAATTTTTAATGTTTTTAGGATCTAAGTATTGAAACTTTATAAACTTTCATACCATTGTCATTTTGTTTTATGTTATTGAAAGTTATCTGCATAAAGTATAGACTGCATAATAATTTGTTATTATTATTTGTTTTTGATGAAATGGATTTATAAACTGGTAATAAGCTATTACTTCTTTTCTTCAGGTGTGGGAGAGGTATCATTGAAAAAAGTTAGATACGATGAATTTAAAAATCAGAAACAGGTCATTTTATACCTGTATGTATGTCCAAGACCACGCTTAAAACAGATGGTTTTGGAAATTGGTAATACATCATTTATATTCTTTAGGTATGGACTAGGAATCACAGAGACTGAATTAGAGACGGAGATGATGAGTTATCTTCCACATATTCATGAATGGATCCAGCATTACATGCTGTCTGGCCCATCTCAACTGAAAGCTGATAACTGTAATGAAAACACTGACCTGATAAAAATTGAAGCAGTACAAGACATTGAAGATAACATTTGGTGTCCTAAGTTTGGAATAAAAGGAAAGATTGACTTAACAGTAGATGTTACTATACATTCAAGAGGAAAATCACAGAAAAAGGTAGACTTTTCTATCCTATGGTTTACTGAGATTCAGAATTAATGACAATTTTTTTAACCAGATGTTTATTGCACTTTTGTTCTGGATATCATATCCTAACTTAGTTTCTTGTTATTAGACTGTGCCTTTAGAGTTGAAGACTGGGAAGCCTACATTTTCTATGGAGCATCAGGGACAAGTAACTTTGTATACAATGATGATGAGTGACAGATCAACTGATCCTGAAGAAGGACTTCTCCTGTACTTACAAGGTGGTCCCCAGATGAAACGATTCTCTACTGAACATCGTAACGTAAGAGGTCTAATACAGCTACGAAATGAACTCTCCCATTACACAGGAAAGGTACTAGATATGGGTCAAAACATGGCACCAAGAAGTGCTCATCTCCCTGAGCCAATCAGCAATAAGCGTGCATGCACAAAATGTCCCCACCTTCTCTCATGTTCTTTATATCAAAGGTAGTTTACTTGAGTATGTGTAGTACTCTGGAATTTTGATAGCTTTTATAGAAATGAATATTGATTTTTATTTAGTATTAGCTTAAGTATTAGATTACTTTAAAGAACCGTGATTTCAAAGTTATTGCATATAAAATAAACTTTTCATTTTAATGATCATGGGCATGTTAATCTGTAGCCATAACACTAATTTTATTTGCCTTGAAGACAACCTCTTTATGGAATGCACTTGTCCCATATATCATGCAAACATAGTAACTGAGGAAAGTTCTAATGTTTGAAATAAAATATTATTGGCTTATATAAGGGGCTATACAGAAACTTAATAGCACAGACAAGTTTTAGAAATTCTGGAAGAACATCTCTTTGTTTATCAGAAAGATTAAGATTTCACAAAATTGTTAATTAATGAGAGTTTACATATATAGGAAATTTCAACAAATATAATTTGTTTTGTGAAGTTGAAAGAAAGAAAATCATTTATTTCTGAATCATTACTGTTTATATAAATTAAAAATAAAGGTCTTTTCAAATGCTAGTGCATCTAATTTTAAAGTAAATCAGTTGACTGTTTATTGAAAGATAATAAAACAGTATTGAAATATATTAATATTTGTGCTTAATAAATATTTGGAATAAAAAATTGCTTTTTAATAGACCACAGTTATGTTCAGTGGTATTATAAGTTATATATTTAGACATGTGCTTGTATTGGATATTTTGTTGTGATAAATACTTGGTAATTTTGTGCTTAAAATGCACTTAACAGTATTGTGAAATAAAAAAGGAAATTGTTTTGTAATTTAACTTATAGAATAGTGTTTTATAAGTTACATGTACAAAGAATAATATACATATGATATAGTAAGACTTCTTGTCTACTTTAATAAAGATTTTTTTTTTTTTAGTATTAAATGTTAGTCAATATTAAAGACTTTTTATGGTCAGTATCAGAGTTAGTTTTTGCACCTTTTATACAGTTGGGAGCATGGTTATTTTGAATTTAAAAAAATCTTCTTTTAGAGCCATTGAAGATTACACCCCATCATCAGAAAATCATCCCATGTCCATCTTAGTTCCAGAAACTTTGAACCATTTGTCTTCGGATCACCTAGCTTATTTTAAAAACTGGATTCTCCTCTTGAACTTAGAGTTATCTGCCACACATCAAAAATATGGAACAAGTTTTTGGAATGAAGATTCCTTGTTGAGGTTTGTTTTAATTTTTTTCTTCTTTTTCTTCAGTTAGAAATACTAGAACTTTTTAGAAATTGTATCTATTTCTGTAATAGTACATATTATGGTTATATTTGGTTTGAAGCAGAGATATTAGAAGAAGTTTATTATTATTTTTGACTTGAGTTAAATTTTTTTATAATGAAATAAAGGAAAGTGTGATGCAAACTGTTGTTTTATTCCTTGCTTTTGTAACTGTTGATACTGATATTCTATTCATCAAATGGTAAATCTATTGCAAATTTCCTCACTTCTGATCTACTGTAGTTCTCACATTGTCAAAATTAATTGTTTAACATTAAACAGGTTGTTAATAATTTAATGATATATGGTCTCCTGTATTTCCCACATAATCACAACTACTTCTTTAAAAAATAAGTTCCCAGTGAGACAGTGGTAAGTCTTTGGATTTACAACACTAGAATTAGAGGTTCAATTCCCCTCAGTGGACACAGCAGATAGCTTGATGTGACTTTGCTGTAAGAAAAACACACTCTAGAAAGTATATTTACAAGCTAACATTAGATTCACAACAAAGTAGGCTAGTTGTTGTCAGAAAGACTCTTTTTATTGAAGACACTAATAGATAATTTGCTATGGGTGAAAAGATAGTTTCTCTTTGTAGAAAGTAGATTTCTTCAATTACCAAACTAAGATTGCATTAGTATACAAAAAAAAACATTATATTGTTAAGTTAGGATAATGACATTTTACAAAATTAACAGTCTTTTACTAAATTACTTCACTGACCAACTGGTTGTTTTTATTTTTAAGCTCTTGTTGGTAAAAGCAATAATCATTAAAGTTTATATAACAATGATTTTGAAGCTGGAGCACCTCACACACTCTAGAAATTAGTTTTGGTTAATTTGTCATAACATTGGCTATTGTCACAATTTTTAAATGTAGTAATAATTCTCTACAGAAAACTACATGCTTTTTTATGTTATAAAACACATAAAAAATAAACCACTGATTCTATTTAGCCCAAATAGATGAAGTTGTAAAATAAAATAACATTTGAGTGCTAATATGTGTCCCCTGGTGGAACAGCAGTAAGTCTACAGATTTACAATGCTAAAATCATGGATTCGATTCCCATCAGTAGAAACAGCGGATAGCCTGATGTAGCTTTTCTATGAAAAACACGCACACACACACATATGTGCCAATGTACAGCAGTTGTATACTTAAACTGAAAATATATATTAAAACTATTTCTTGGCTTGAAAACAAAATTAATGTACTTGTGTAAACATTGGGTTTAGCATTCTAGTTTCAAGCCACAAATTTTTCTTAATAGTTATTTTCAAGTCAAGAACAGAAGTTTTACCTTTCAGTGCATAGATATTGTTTATCATGTTATTTTTCCTTGCAATGAGTAAAATTAAATTTTATTTACAATGATTGATTATCTTTAATCTGAACATAATGTCAACCAACTGTCATAGAAACTACTGTGAGTCTGAAATTTGACTACTGATGTAGAAAAATTAGAATCTTCTTTTTAATGCACTCATCGAATAGAGAAAATATATATTTATTTTGATATTATACAAATATATTAATCTTATGCGAATGGCTAGAGGTCAAAGTGTGCATGCCACGACCTTCTTACATAGTGCCATTCAACATGGTATTATGTATTTGATGTCAGAGTTGCAACTATTAATTTTATCCTACATTACTGGTTTAGCGACAGTTTATGATAGAGGAGAGTAAATACCAGGTACAGTATACAGGGATACTGGGAAAAACTGTACATATGTCAGAAATTCTAGAGGTTGTGTAAATGCTAATTGTAAATTGGAAAAAGTGAGACTGAGTGATGGTCATTCACAGACATATCTTGATTTTTTGTGTGTATGCAACAGACTTGTAAATTTTTGGTATATTTCTTCCTTAATACGCTGTGCACATTTGGTTAGAATAACTGCAGGGAGAAAGAAATGCTATTTAACTGTTAATTTGACATAATATCAGAGTATTTGTTATTTCTATTTTATGGCAAGAGAAAAAGTTTTGTTTACACCATAATAAAATAATTATTTTCAGGGAGAAGAAAGGTATTTGCTTGAGTGGAATGACTTTGAGATCATCTGTAAAACATAGTAAACAACTGGATAGTGGTCAATGGGTGATGACTTTCCAAAAGAATTCTTCTGCATCATTTGACAACCTGAAAAACATTGGTTTGAATCCTTGTGACTTTGTTTTGATAAGTAAGGATGGAATTTGTCAAGAGGTTGCCATTGCAATGGGAACTGTTTTATCAGTGCTCAATAATTCTGTTGAAGTGGTGACTGACAAGTAAGGAAGTGTAAATAAATTGATGATATTGCAATAAGGTAGTTAATTTTCCATTCTGTATTGGTTGAATTGTATGTTGATCTATAAGTATTTATAACTGTATGAGTAAATTTGTAAAAAATTGATTAAATTATATTTGCCAGTATAATAACTATTTCACAAAAAAAGAGGGGGAAACATAAGTACCAGTAACCTTTAATGATATAAATGGTCTGTCTTTTTCATTTTTATCTTACTTCTCAACAGATCTTAATGTGTAAAATAAGAGGGGGAAACATAAGTACCAGTAACCTTTAATGATATAAATGGTCTGTTTTTTTCATTTTTATCTTACTTCTCAACAGATCTTAATGTGTAAAATAAGCAAATTAAGATATTATCTAAGACTTGTAACGATCTAGTTTATAAAAGTTAGTATTTATAGTGTTTTAGCATTTTTATGCCAGTTTGTAGTTATGTTTAGCACATTTAAACCCTTTGGTGCCCAGTTGAAGGCACCCATTGTGCGAGGGCAAAATAAAAAATATAGAAAATAAACTTTTAGTCATTCTTCCACACATTTAAAAAGAAAAACCTCAGAGATGAAATTGATTTAACTAAAAAGTTTTATTTATTTAAATGTATACATAAAAAATTTTTTAATCACAAATTATTATTTTGAGTTGATTTTAATGTGCTCTAAATGAAAACTTTAGTGTTTTTGAATTTCCTGAAATGTTTCTGAGCATAATGTAGTACTCAGAGTCTCTAAGATAAAAATTGAAATAGTTTTGAACAAAAAAGCTCTAATTTAAAACTTGCAAGTGTAGTTTCATTGATTTTAATCGATCACTTTTTCTCAACCTTAGTCGATATGGTGTGACGTGATTGCCTATATTTTAGCTTTGAGAAGTGATCAAAACATGTAATCAAAGCTGTTTTTCTCTCTTTTCTTTTCAACTGTATGTGTCCTAGATTTACATAAAGATCTAAACAAAGTCATAATTAAAAATCTTTGTAATATGTTGCATGAAGAAAAGATGTTTTGTGAACAACTTCTGTCACAATTACAATAATAATTTATTATTTTTTTAAAGTTTGTAAAATACGTGTTTTATCATTTTTCCATTTCACTTGAATTACGATAATGAAAATATAGAACAATATGAGGTAGGTTTAGTTAAATCATATTTCACTTCATCATATCAAGTTTTGTTTGACAAACAAGGCTGCAGTGTTAGACCTTGTTTACATTAGGGCTTATCAGCTAATGCTGTCTTGCTTATAATTTTTGTATGGTAAAAAGTTATATTTATTGTACAGTAGTAATTATAAACTTAGTGAAACTGTGTGTATTGTTTATCAAGTCAGAACAAAGATAAATTTATAGTTTTAATAAGCACTTTTGGCAAGTTTTACAAGAATATAGGAAAACATAAAAATTGGTAATTCAACTTGTTTCTTAATAAACATTGCAATTAAATCTTTTTGAATTTTAAAATTTGTGAATTCATACAATTATCACATATAAGTTAAGATATTCTATTTGCAGAAGCTAAACGATCTGTAGAAAGTTCATCTGAAGTTTCAAACTATTTTATCCATTAGTTTTTGTTTGTAATGCAGTAAAACAAACCATATATGAATTGCATTGAATCAACCCCCCTGGGTATTTAATGATTAAAAATGTTTATATATATATAGAAATCCTGACAGTTCATTTTATATATTTTACTTTGTTAGCAAAATCTAAAAGTTTTTTATCTTTTGACATATGAACATAATATGGTATTTCTAAACCTATTTCAGACTAACCTAAACTTTTTTCTTTTTCATACACCCTTAGAAAATTCAAAATTGTCTTTAAGGTTTAATTAGTATTAATATTTTTTTTGAAAAAGTGTACCTGTGTATTTTGACAGGCTGTAATTGCAACAATATATTTGAGATTACTAGCTTAATAGGATAGTTGGTTTTCTTATATTTTAGGTAAATCACATACAATACCTGTATATAAACTAGATAATTTGATTTTTATAGATTTGAACTTCTTGAAGTGTTTTTCAGTTTGTATTTTCATAAAGATTTTTGAAGATGTGAAAATTTAAAATCATAGTTAAAACTTAAGTCTCTATTATTATTATTGGTTGATATATCATAAGTAAAATAATACTTAGAGTAGGAATGGGCCAGATGTGTAATATGTGCAATACAAATTAATCTCAAACAGCAAACAGCATGTAAACAAAACTTTATAAGCACTTTTACACACACTGTTGAGCAGTAAACAAGCCAACAAAACACTTTAGAAAGTTGGTAGAGTGAAAACAGAAATTTCACAAAACCACAGATTTGTCAATCTGACTGACTAACGTTGTTGGAAAGGTATATCTCTCTCCTGCCTTCACCTTATGCAAATCTAAAATGCACATGATTATATTATGCTACTTTGGCTAAAAGTGTTTTTCTTACTTTTATTTATAACCTTGGTAATAAATAACAAGTAATAGCAATAACAATTTTGCAAAACTACTAACATTAGGTAAATTAATATTTAGAATTATACACAGACTTTTCACAAACTTTAAATTGTATCTTTATACATGGAGAAAATTCTGTGTATAATTCTAAATATATTGATATCAATTTTGAAGTAAATCAGCTCACTGAACCTCTGAGAGCTCTAAAGTGCCCTTGATTTCCTGTTTTTGGGGTTCATCACTATTGCTTCCAAAAAACAAAACTCTTTGGAGTTCAAGAGCCTACGTGCAATATTTTAAGTGGCTTTATCAAAAATTGTGGAAAAATATATCAAAAATTTAATGCAGACAAATACATAGGTGCAGGTTAAGATTACTATATAGAAGATTGTCAGTCTACATGTAAGAAAACTCAAAAGATAAAGATGTAGAAAATATGGGGAATAAAAATTTTGTGTTAGCTCAAAACAGTAGTTTCTCATAGTGTTTTTAATTTTAGTGCATACTGTGCTTAGCCAAATGGTAACTGTTTTTTTGAGATATTGTAATGCAGATTTTCCAGGCTTTGAAGTAGTTGAATAATAAAAAAATATATGACTTACAATATTCTTGTTTTACAGGGACTTAACAATGAGACAAGGTTGGGAACATATGGTATTTCGAATTGATCTTAACGTGTCCTTTAGTGTGATAGCTGTCAACTTTGTTAATTTGGCACGACTTATGTCTCCTGATCCACAGGCAGAGAAAATACGAAGTTTCGTAATTGACAGAAAGCAACCTAAGTATTTAAATCGTTTAGACAAGCAGGTGGTTCTGAATGGGAGAGAAATCATGAAATGTCTCAACAAACCACAACAGAGGGCTGTACTAAAGACTTTAATGTGTAAAGATTATATCATGTGGAGAGGAATGCCTGGAACAGGTAGAGGATAACCTGATGTGATTTGTTGACAAGTGCTAATCTAGAAGACTATAAGAAAAAAAAGATCATTGTTTGCCACATTTTACTACAATGTTTTGCTATTTATTGTGTACTTTAACAAAAAGAGGCCAATTTTCAAAATGTTTTAAAAGATTTTGTTATACATGTAGTTGAGATTTACATATGCATTGTTGTTCAACAAAATTTGTGAAAACCATAAATTGTCTGAAATAAGGCATTTATCAGTTTGCAGTCTTATGGAGGATAATGCTTTTCATTTGATTGGGAAAAAATGCTATACATTAATTTGATTAAAAGAAAGGAATTCTGGATGTTAGTTACTTTATATCATTGAATTCTGTGTAACAATTATAAAATAATTTTTTTCTAATCCAGATTACATAATGAATCCTTTATGATACATAATTGTTATAAATGTCTTTATATTCCATTTTTGAGTTAGATTTAGACATAAAGGTTTGTTTAAAAACGGAGGAAGAATAAAAAGAAATGTTGTAAGAGTATATAAAATGCTGCATAAAATAGTAATTGTAAGACTAACAATACCACATATCATGTAAGTGATACAATACATTTTCTTTAAAATATCTGGAACGTTAATAGAGTCCCCCAATGGGTCAGCAATAAATCATCTAACTTAGAGTGCAAAAAATCCAGAACTTGATTCCCTATGTTGAACAAAGTCCAGATAGCACATTATGTAACTATGTTCTAGAAAAACCATAACCAACAACATTAATAAATGGAATGCATGTGATGATGTCGCATTTCTTTGCTAATACGTTGTGGGCTTTGTTTTCAACTCTGTATTTAATCATGTTTTTGCAGTTTTGTTTAACTGCACTTAATAATAATAATACAAGTATAAAAGAGTCCATAATTGTAGAATTAGTTTAAATAATGATAATATTCTAACAAAGAGCTATTGATTAGGTAGATGTACATGAAATATCCAGCTCCATTGAACAAGAGACTATTTCTATCATTGATTTAGGTGGACTAATGAGAACTGAATATGTTGGAAACTGTAGTTCCTAACTGGTCATAATGTGGGTTTTATTGCCTTCTGTGAGCTCATAGCTTTTCATTTCACAAGTTTTATAAAGTAATGTAATAATTGTTTACAACTTTTCTCAGCATTCATACATACTACAGTTCCACAATAAACAAACTTAAATTTTTACAAAACTGTAAGTGGTAGCATATTTATACAATTGTATTTTTTTTATTTTGTAGGTAAAACATTAGCAATTGTATCTTTGGTGAGGATTTTAGTGAAGTTTGGTTATTCTGTCCTTCTCACAAGTTACACTCATTCTGCTGTAGACAATATCTTACTTAAATTACTTAACCACAATGTGGACTTCATTCGTCTGGGTCATCTGGGAAGAATCCATCCTCAAATTCAGCCATTCTGTAGTGAAAAGTTAACTAAAGACGTTAATTCTGTTGAAGAACTGACCAATTTTTATCTCTCTAAGGTGAGTTTTGGTTAACTATAAATTTTGTCTGAGGTTAAAATATGTAATTGTTTAACAGTCTTTAGAGATCATACAGAACATTTGATAGCCCTATCTATAGTTGCATGTATGAAACTTCTGAAAATTAGCAGGTGTCCACATATGATAAAGAAATTCTAACAGTTTGTTTAATTGAGAGTGGAATTTTTCTTTGTTGACATGTACCTGTTTAAGTACTATAATTAAGGTATTTGTTTTTGTTTTCTTTTTATGCAAATGAATCTTACCCTAACTGATAGATTTATTTTTGTTTTACGTAACTTAATTAGTTTAATGATATTGAACTAATATTGCTTACAATTTATTAGTTTTGTATAAAACATCTTTGAAGAACTTCATAATTACACTTCTTACTAAATGTAGGAAAATCATAAAATTTCAAAACTAAAAGCAGCATTTCATGTAATTCAGTGACAGACTTTGCATGAATTGTGCATAAAAATGTTTTTGGATGTATAAAACATCCTAGATGCACCAAGCAGAACACTTGCTGGAAGTTGTACAGCAAATGAGAGTATTTCATAAAATTTAATTAAATGGTTAAAACATCAAACAATACGAGCCATGTTATTAAAAAGACTTAAATATAATGGATCTAGGTCACCAGAATCATTCAAACAGATGAACATAAACACATTCATTAATACAGTAGAGGAACTTCAAAACATGAGAAACACCACTAATGTAAATTGATAACTTGCATGATATGCTGTTGTATTTCTTAAATTCAACCACTGGCAGCTAGCATTTTTCTGTCAGTTTTGTAATTTTTATCATATAACTGATAATAAAACCTAAGAAAAATGTCAATGTACATATAGTTTTCAGCCTTAAGTTTAGAATAGTTAAGACCTAGAACCAGACAATATCGTAAATAATAGTTCTGTTAAAATCATAATTAAATAAAGCCTTTCAGCATTATTTTTGAATTTTATTTTTCGTGGATGCATTACTGTACATTGAATGAACTAGTGTCAGTTTAGTAACTGATGTAGCTAAGCCATGACATAATCATAAAAGTTGTGTACTATCACATTTCCATACAAGCTTCCATTATCGGTAAATTAGTATAATTTAATTGAAGTCATAAATGATATAACAGTTACACTTATACAAATTATATACAATCAGTCTTGATCACTGGATTAAGTTAAAACTACATAGAGTAATGTAGGAAGAATAAACAATGTGAAAGGACAAATGGGTTAAGTTTTATTTAGCCCACTCTTCTGATTTCTTTATTGACAGGTATTGTGTTCACTTTATCCCACAGATGTTTAAAGCCAACCAAGTGTGTGTGTGGTTGCCATGTTGAATATAATTTGTGTGGTTGTTGTTTTGGTATTGCCTTTTCAGCTGCTTTGATTAATTAGGCACCCATAGATTGTTTGACAGTATTCATCAATATCAGATGGTTTTTTACTTTATCTAATTCCTTAGCATATTTTGTCCAATTTGCTTTTTGATAATCGAACTTAGGATTTACTATAGGTTGATTATTATGGCGGGCAAGATCGAAAACACAGGTTATAGGTAGGTGATTACTATCCACATTGTTTTCTACATTAAATTTAGAGAATTTAGCTAAATCTCTGGTTGTAATACATAAATCTAGGATTTCACTTGTATTATAAGCGTAACAGGTTAGGGTGTGTGTGGTATTGTTCAAGAGAACACACTCCGTCTGATTTAAAATGTTTAACAATTTGATTCCATTTGCATTCATACGACTGCATCCAGAATTTTTGTGTTTACTATTAAGATCACCTACCATTATTACTTTTTGGTTATATTCTATTAATTTATTTAAAAATTTGGTATCCACAATATTCGTTGGGAGCAATATATTCCTGCTATTGTTATTATTTGTTTATCTGTTATATATAAATATAACAGTAATATTTTCATTATTGCTTTGTAATTCTAACTGTATTATTGATAAAGTTGATTTATGTAATAAAGCTATTCCTCTTTTGGGGTCATTTTTGTTAATTCTGTCATGTCTAATTGTTTTATAGTTTTTAAATTGAAGGGATTTTTGACTATTTAGCATAGTTTAAGTTATTACTAATATATTTGGATTAGTTTAATTAATTAACTCTTCGATCTCGTGCCTCTTGGAAACAAGACCACCTTGGATGTTAATGTGTTGTATAGTGAATGTTTATGTGAAGAATGTGACCATTAATTTTTAGAACAATAATGGGATGATTGGCATAATGTATATTTTTGCTATGTTCATAAACAATGTAAAGTAGTCTGTTGTGTTTTCTGGGTTTTGTATTTGTGTGAAGAAATCTTTAGCTATATTTTTAATATCCTCAAAAATTGGGCTATTATCTGCTTGTTTTTGTTCTTGTGCATTATTTTGATTTTGTGTTTCTTGCCTGTTTGTTTCTTCAGAGTTTTTATTGGTTTCTGTTGTGGTTGTTGTTTCACAGTGTTTGCATATGTGGTAGTTGTTTTGTTTTTTGTGTGCCTGGTGATGGCAAGAGAGTTTTTCTTGGTTGTTTGACCATAACTTGATTTCTGAAAATAGGTTTTTCAAAAATCACGGAGCGAAATATGACATGAATTTTTATTATTATGGTTACACATCAGTGGTCAAAACTTCAACAATTGAGAAAGCTTAATACATTTATAGAATCACAAAGATACCAATGGCTAAAACTAGAGGACGAAATACTTATTATTAAACATTTCTTTTAAATGTTTACGTTATTAAAGTGAAAAATTATCTAAACAGTTATGTCATATAGTGTATCAAATACTTTAATAAAAGCTGAGAAATATTACTGTCTTTGAACTGAGTGTCTGCTTGGGCTAAGAATAGTCATTTCAGTTTAATGGATATTACCCAAGAATGAAAGGGGTTCATTAAAACAGCTTCTACTCTCTCTGATTTTCTCTTACATTTTTAATCAAATGTTTTTCTTAATTTGCTGCAAATTTCATGCTTGAGTTTCACTCAGATTTCTTGTTGTTACCATTTTGGAACTGTAAAACGAAATAATTGGAGGGTTATTCCCTAACATGTAAATTTCTGCCTGAAATTTTCTCAGCATTTCTTGATAATTTTCTGGCATCTACTGTTAAAATATAAAATGCTTGAAAGACATAAAAAAACATAGGTGGGGATTTATGTTGCATTATTTCTTTCAAAATGAGAAGTGTCAAAATTTCTAAAGTTCAGACAGAAAATTCTTACTAAGTTTGAAGGGAGTGGGACTAACCCCTGAGAAATTTTGTTTTATCACATCCAAATGGATGAAGCATGAAATTTTAACATAATACTATGAAGAAATTTGCAAGACAGCTCTGGAGGTAAGTGATATTCTTTTAACAATTGATGAGTATTGCCAAACAGTCATGAATAACACATACTAAGAGAGATTTTATTTATTTCACAATTGAAATGTAGTTTGTTAATAGCAAATTAAATGTTATTAATAACTTGTTTAAGTTATAGGTCATAACCTGTTTTTGACATTCATCTTTAATTAATTTCAATTGTATTTTCTCATACTATTGTTGTTAGATACATGCTGTTTGTCTTATTCAACTTTCTTGTTTCTTAGCCTGTCGTAGCTACTACTTGTTTGGGCATCAATCATGTATTGTTCAGAAAAAGAAAATTTGACTTCTGTATCATAGACGAGGCATCTCAAATACTACAAGTTGCAAGCTTGGGTCCTTTGCTTCATTGTCACCGATTTGTCCTTGTGGGTGACCCCCAACAACTTCCTCCTGTTGTTCAAAGTAAACAAGCAAGGTAATGTTTCATTGGTATTGCTGTTATATGTGTTTAGTGGTGATTACACATGATATATATATATATATATATATACACACACAGCATGGTCACAAGTAAATAGACACCACCTTTTCAGAAAAAATGAAATTTTTCAGTTATATTCTTATGAATTGATATATTTATAAATGAATTAATATTTAGTAGATCTTCCTTTCGCTTCGTGGAGTTCGTTGATCCTTTGGGGCATCGTGAAAATCATCTCGTCAATTTTAGATTGTGGGATTTTCGCCCACTCTTGCTTCAAAACTTGGAGTAGATCGCTAATCGAAGTTGGTTTTTCTGTTGTTTCTTGACTTGCCGGTCGAGTATGGCCCAGAGGTTTTCGATGGGGTTCATGTCAGGAAATTGGCTCGACCAGGGCAACTTCTGGATAACATTTTCTTCCTGCCACTTTTGGGTGTTTCTAGCAGTGTGACACGGTGCTTCATCTTCCTGGAACAACGTTGTGGTCTTGTCCCTGAAACCCGAGGAATAAAGTGGCAAGAGTTCTTCCTCCAATATTTCGACGTATTTCGCAAAATTTATTTTGCCAACGCACTCCACTAAGCTCGAT